CGTGGTCCTTTCGGAAAAAAACTGGGCCACGTCCAATGAGCGACTGATCCTGCACTTTTGAGAAAAAAATGAAATCTTTTGTATTGAGTACACATCAAAAATCGCTTTCTAAAACCACCAATGCAGGTACTATTTAAGGGTTGAGACACATATTTCATCTATTTTCTGGGACTACGTGGTTCATTTAGAAACCGACATGAGGTTATTTGGTTTCACTTGTTTAACGTTTATTCAAAAACGAGGCATCTACCAATCGACGATAGCTGCAGAGTCGCACGGAATAGATGGGTGCTAATTTGACCTGACTGAAAGCACCTTGCATTTAGCTTTGAAGCTCCTGATATTGAGCCTTAAAATGCGATCGCACAGCAGTCAGCAGTTAATTATCCGGAAATGTTCTCTAGCCCTTTGTAGCAGGAAAACATTTTTGAAATGACTTTTATTACGTTGAAGTATAAATTCCCTAATCTGATAACTGCGAAATTGCTGCCCATTTCCTAGGGGAGACCACTTTTTTACCCATCCACATATACTTACCCGAATGTTTGCTACAGGAAGTGCGCAATTCGCCCGTTGATATACAGCCGTATTGTTCTAACCATATCTCCTCACCCTTTCTTTTTTTCACTTGTATAGGCACCTGCGGTTCGCACAACTGTTCCGGTAATGGGGTCTGCATAGACGGTGTTTGCCGCTGCTTTCAGGGCTGGGTGGGGGAAGCCTGCAATCAGCCCCTGGGCAGTGTTCACTTCATCGAAGCCTCCTCTGCTAGCCCCAATTCGGCCGCGCCTCCGTCCCCCGCCTCCCCGGTGCCAGCCAGAGGCGAAAATGATTTTGAATCAAGTGACACCACCCGCCTCCTTAAGGACTCGCCAGCCTCCGACCTCGCTGACGCCTTTTGCTCCTTCAACGGGCATCGCGACGCTAACGGCCTGTGTCGCTGCAAACCTGGATTCGAGGGGAAAACCTGTGATAAAGGTAACCCTATCCACCCCGATTAGTTTATTGGTGTGACACACTCCTGTCCTGTGTGCACGACCGCTACACCTCCTGTTCTGGCAGCTACAAACTCTCAGAATGCCTTACTTTGCCGTCAGCTGCCTCAAACGATGGTGTGGTCACTCCGCCTCCCTCCCTCCCCTCCCCCTCCTCCTCCTCCTCGGTTTTTACGACAGACGCAAAAACAATTCACACACATCGCGCTGCAACAACTTGATGCCAATTTAGTGCTTCTAAAGAGCATTCATTTCGCGCTTTCTACGATTTGAGGAGAGTCGTATCCCCCCGCCCCTCCCGCCCCCTCCCTCTCTTCCCGTGTGTGTGTGTAGATCTGATCGCTGGGTGATGCCTTGTCAAATACAGTTTTTCGTTCGAAGCAGTCCCTAGACTTCTCATTCGCGCGGCCTGCTCAGCGGGATGTCTCACGGTCGGTATTTTTCGTAGTACGATAGGCGGCGAAAGGGTGTCACAGGTCTCCCCTCTGCCATTCACTGGCAAGTTGCCTGCACCACCTGATAGTGGCTAAGGGTGCAATGTTAGTACACATTCGAACTGCTTTTGGTCCCCATCGGTAGCCGGGGCCCGGCCGAAGCTTGCTTTGGTAGTCTCGATCGCCTTGTCGCTGTCAGTCTCATTTGAAATCGGTGCTTCTAAGTTCTCTACTGTGGAGTTGGGGGGTTTGATTTGAACAAAATAACGCGGTATTATGCCGTTTATAAGCCTGAATGGCAGTCGTATATGATCAAAGACGCACTAAAAACCGTCATTTGCCAGTTGATTCCAACTTTACTGTCCTTTACCGGAGCCGTGCAATTTGCTCGCTCAAGCTGTTCTGCATGGTAGTGCACACTTGACTGCCACTCGTTGATGACCACTCAGCAACATCTAACGGAACTCACTCGTCCCGCTCTGCCTTGGCCAATTCTGGCTCATTATCTGTCATCAACCAGTCATTGCCAACCCCAAGTGGTGCTCCACCCGAGGCTCGAGCTCGCGACCTTTTGGTCAGCAGTCCAACGTTCTAACCATTGAGCAACGGGTTTGTTGTCTTGCCAGTTTAGATCGGGATCAACGTTCACTGATTGCTAACGGAACTCACTTGCCCCGTTCTGCCTTGGGCAACACTCTCAAGGCCTGCCACTTAAGTGTTTGGGGAGTTCCAGGAAATTGTGTACTTCTTCTTTAGATGCCAAGATCGATTGAAGAAGTATGGTTTTTTAAGACGAAGTGGACCATGTTGAGCAAAAAGTAGCCCGTAGTGGACAAATAAGCAGCTCACTAAACAAATCTTCTCTCTGTTCGACGCCTCTGTGTTACTGACCGGTGAACGATAATCAGTCGATCAGGGAGTCATCTTATGTATGCCTTCAGGTTCATCTGTCAGGTCCATGAGCCTTTGGCTATCTCCTATCTTCATACGGTATTCGTCGAAATTTTGATTTCATTTACCGGGATTATTTTAAGCACACTTGGACAGACTGGCATGTAAATAATGTCGGGCTATTTCTTAGGCATTATTATGCGGACCTTTGGGTAAGCATCCCTCTGGTCTCCTATGTGGATCGCTCCGGAAAAATGCTGACTGTTCAAGTATTGCGTAGGTTCTCCCTCATCGATTGCCAATGCTTCCATGCATTCACTTCTACGTTAAAGTGAGGATGTGTATACAAAAATCTGTCGGGATTTCTTATGTGGGTCCCCTGACAGCAAACGGGAAAAGAAACGCCCCTACCCCTTCATATAATGCAAGGGGTCTTACGCTAGGTTCGAAAAATGATGAATATTTTCCCACCTGTACTACGGGCGGCTACTGTTCCCATACACACTGTTTAAAAATATCCTTCTCAAATGCGGTTTCTTCTGGTGACTAACAGGAAAGGCTCAGTGTGCTATCATGTAGCGCTTGGTCTCGTGTTATATTGTCGCTAACCGCCTGTGCACCGTCGTCCACATGTATTTTTTCTTTCATTTAAAAACTCTATTGACCAACTTTGGTCACCGTTTAGCGAGTTTGCGTGTCTCATACGCTCCCGTGACGGCCCGTAAATTGCGATTGCTGGGGGAGCTTGTTGCAGAGAGAACGAGAAGGCGTCGCCTTGCATGGGGAGGCTCCGCATTTTGGAACCCCCCTTTCCAGGAGTCTGCTTGGCTTCTACGCCAGTGGCCTACCCTCACGTATAAGTTAATCAAGATCGTTGGCAGCCTGGCATCTTACGTCGAGCGTGGATACCATACACTTCTCGGAAGGAGGGGGAGGGGGAGGCAATCACGACCGCCTTTCTCTGTTTTTTTTTCAGGTCAGGTCAGGTTTATTAAGGGAAATATAGGCAACAGCCTTTGAACTCCCTATTGGTACAGAGCAGTTAAGAAATACAAGCTCGTTTATGAAATGTGTAAGCCCGTTTATTACGTCTGTGCTCGTTTTTGTTGTTGTTGCCTTTGTGCGCATCTCTCTCTCTCTCTCTCTCGCGAATTCGAGCCTCGGGTACTGCACCACTTGGAGCTGCCTATGACTGGCTAACGACGGCTAATAAGCCAGAAGGGACCATCCCAGTCTCCCTTGTCTTTGCTGATAGTACTACCTACCTGGACTACTAGCTGCTTTAGCTGCTGTCATCGCCCGAGAAACTTGGTCCAAGGCAGAGCGGAACAAGTGAGTCCCGTTAGCGGTCGGTGAGCGTTCATCAACGAGTGTCACTATCAAGTTTGCTCACCCTGCTCTGACTTGACCCAGTTAACGCCGAGGCCTGTTACCCCTGCCTCGACGAGTCATCCACTTTTCAATGGATTGTCTGATTATGGTTGATGCTCCCGCTCACTGGCACGACCAGCTCTTTGACTCTGTCTTTGTCATCTTTGTTCTGTCGGCGTGCTTATTCTCCACCCTTAAATCATCCCGCGAAGAGTATGGCCAAATGAGCCGGGCGACCAACTTAGCACTACGAGATTAGGATCTAGCAGATCGTTTACATATGCGAAACCTTCGTTCCCTCAGAGTTAGTGGTAACCAGGTCCGTCGAATCTGACAAGTTCTGTCCCGGCGATTCCATTTGGCGTTCGGTCGCTAGGCTAAATATTCCAAGGTCTTATCCCTTACACTAATCCTAGCATAAAACTACATTGTAAGCTGGATTTTAATCTTATCCCAAGTCGAAACCATGCAGTTAACACAAACCCAGATTTTAACCCTTGACGTAATCCTGACCCCAAATCTAACTCTGGCCTTAATCCTAGCCCTAAGACCCACTTTAATCCGAACCATACTCTCCCCGGAACTTGGCAAAAAGCCACATGTATTGTGGACGTTTCATGCTCTCATGTCCCATTTAGTCGGCCATACAAGTCATCCTTACCTAATTTTTCAGGGACTGTTGAAATATTATTTGTAGGTATTTAAGACCAATTTGTATGATCCGTCTAACCCAGATATTCTGGTAGTCATCTCGTGTATTCTGGACGGATCGCTTAGGAAACCCTGTTCGTACAGTCGACTTGCTGTATTAGCATGGGTAGATCGCACCCATTTTAGTCGATTAGATGCGTCAACTTGTAATTAAGCTCATGGTTCTCGGCCTTTGCCTCATAGCCCAGGTGATTAGAGCAATAACTGTACACCATTTTTTGCACTTTATGCTGTGGGTTCTTACTCCACTAAGTTGTTTCGTAATCGCGTAAGGTGAAAGTAATCTAAGTTCAGGCATGCCAGGAATCACAGGATAGGGTAAGGCCCTCCCTGACGAGCGAAAGGTCTCGCAGTTGCGTTACCTACATTTAGAAATATGGGCGAA